GTATATAGCCAGCAGCCAGTGTGAGCTGCCAACAGCCGCAGTGAGCGGCCGTCCAGAAGCCGGCGACTGATCTGCCTCGCCTGGGAAGAGCACAGTGATGGTTCCAACTTGGACCAGTGAAGCAACGTCCTCCACAACTAGACTGAAGAACAAAACGACAGCAACTTGTCTGTTCCCCTTCCCCCAATTTCCCAGCACTGTTCCCAACCCCCCAATTCTCCAATAAAAAATAAATAAATGAATAAAAAAAATAGGCAAAGGGTTTGAACAGACATTTCTCCAAAGAAGATATACAAATGGACAACAAGCACATGAAAGATGTTCAACATCACTAGTCAATAGAGAAATGCAAATCAAAACTAGAATGAGATAGCACTTCATACCCATTGAATGGGAACAATTAAGAAGGTCAATAAGTATTGGTGAGGATGTGACGTTATAACCCTCATATATTGCTGGTGGCAATGTAAAATGGTACAACCACTTCAGAAACCAGTTTTTCAGTTCCTCAAAAAGTTAAATATAAAGTTGTCATATGACACAGTAATTCCATTTCTAGGTATGAGGTGTGATTAAAAACTATGGTGAATGTTTACATTAACAAATGTATTACAGTAAAAGACACATTGCCATTAATTCCCCTCAAAATACCCCACTTCGCTTTGAACATAATTATCCCATCGTCTTGCCACTTTCTGAAGTAGTTCTGGAAGTTCTCTTTCATGAGTATCTTTAGTTGTGCTGTCATGGCTGCCTCAATGTCCTGAATGGATTCAAAACGTTTACCTTTCATGGTCATTTTGACTTTGGGGCAGAGTCAGGAGTCTCATGGTGCTAGATCCAGTGAATAAGGTGGATGAGAACACTCCATAATGTTTTTGTTTGACAGAAATTGCTGTACCAAAAGTGATGTGTGACACATTGTATACCAGGTGTGTTGTCATGATGGAGGGTGATTTATGACACACTTTAAAACACACCTTCTCTCAACCATAGCTCACACCTGACTGACTGCACCGAACAAGTTGAAACTTGTCACACACTGTTACTAAGGTTCGACATAATTGAAGCTTCCTGTATTGAAGATCCCTGCCTTTCCATTAGCTGGCACTCAGCAGCACCATTCACCATATTTTGTGATCACACCTCATACATACCCAAGAAAAATGATAACATATATCCATACAAATACTTGCACACACATGTTCATAGCAGCATTATTATAATAGCCCCAAAGTGAAAATGACCCAAATGTTCACCCATTGATGAATGGATAAACAAAATGTGGTGTATATATACAATGGGACATTTTTAGCCATAAAAAGGAATGAAGTACTGATACATGCTATACCATGGATTGAAAACATTATGCTAAGTGAAAAAAGCCAGGCATAAAGGCTACATAAAGTATGATTCTATTTATACGAAATTTCAAAAGTAGGCAAATCCAGTGACAGAAAGTATATTAGTGGTTGCCAGAGCTGGGGACAAGAACAATAAGGAGTGGCTGCCAAAACGTACAGAGCTTCTTTCGGGGGTGATGAAAATATTTTGGAATTAGATAGTGGTCATGGTTGTTTAACTCTGTGAATATACTAAAACCCCTGAATTGTACACTTTAAAGGGTAACTTTTATGGTATGTGAATTGTATCTGTTTTTTAAAAATCACCAAGGTGGCTTTTTCCTCAGTACTGATTCCAGGGCTCTAAAACCAGAATCGATTCAGAAACAATGGAATGGAAACCAAAAATGCATCCTGAAGATACCTTTTCCAGTTGCGAGTGCTTTGGGAATCCGTTCTCAGGTTTGATGTACAGACACGATAAGATTTTCTTACAGATGTGGCCTCCATTCTGCCTCTGCTGAAAGTCACAGAGCAAGAGAGGGAGGGCCTGGCCCAGGCCGGGTCTCGGCTCCCCTTCCTGGTTCCCTTAACCACGACACCCCTCCTCACGTTCACATACTAAAACTAGTTTATCCCTGGGTGAAATCGGACACAACTAAAAACGTCAGGTCTATCGAGTTTTTCTGAAAATTCAACATACATTTTCATATCTACACAGGCAAACATTTTAAATACGCACGTAGTGTCTGAGAGATCACACCCATACCTGTACTCCAGAGTACCATCACAGTGGAAGGGCAGGATAAACACTTTGTTAGTCTTTGTAGAAGAGTGGCTTGACAATCACAAGTCACACATCCAGGCCCACAAAGACCAGAGGTACAGAAAGTGCCTTTTTATGTTATGTGCAGACTTCTCTTGTGTTCTGCAAGCATCCTGTAGAGCCACTGATAGGTAATGAGGATAAATAAATACACCAATCACACCCTTCTAAGAATTAGAATTTCTTTCCACCAAGTCAGATGTGGGCTGTCATTTCCTGTGTTTTATGGCATGTCACACATTTTTAATACCTGTATTTTTAAAGCGCTCAAATTTTGGCCGCTCGTGAGAAAGTTCTAGGCTTCATAAAAAGTGTGTTTAGAAAAGTGTTCATAGACAACTCAAAATAAATGTTAGTCAATGCAGGCAAAGCTACAAGGAGTATGACCTTCTGTTGCCTGTCAAACTGCTCCTCACTTTCTGTAAGCTGCACAAAGGATTCATTCAACACTGTTCAGAGGCTGAAAGTGAAAGTGACTCAGACTATTTTCAAAAAGGTCAAGACAGTACACTTGCCCCACTTTCAAATTCCTCTGAGCCTTTCCTTGTGAGCTTCACCACTAGAGGAATGCAGCCCCCAGCTGTAAGTTGATGCCATAGTGATTTTACTTTTCTTCTACGTGTTCAGGTCCCACTCTGTGAAATGGGTTCACGAGACTGCGTTTAGGAATGTCCTACATAACAATCTCTGCAATGCCTGGGGACTGACCCTGGGCAGGGAGGGATGTGAGGCCGCCCTGTCCCTGCTTGGGCCTCCCCTGGCCCTCAGGGCCCAGTCCTCCAGCATCTCCTTTGTGCCCAGGAGGCAGCCAGGTAGAAGCCACAGGGTGATGAGAAAATGGGCTGCTTTGCTCGGGGCAATCTGCCCACCCTGCCCTCAAAACTGTTACTGTTATATAAACATGGCCCTCAGACACGATCATTTTTCTTACAATATTAAAAGAATTACTGCTTACACTATGGATTACCCCAAGGGCCCGGTAATAATGAACCAGACCCCGCCTTAGGTGGGTGCGCTTTCTGTGCCGCTGCCGGCCCAGCGCACCCGGAGTAGCATTTCACAGCTACGCAGCCGGCGTCCCGCCGAAGGGGCGCCATCCGCAGGGCTTCAGGGCCAGAGCGGCCACGTTAGTGGAGCTGTCCTCAGCTGCGCCCTGCCTTTCCGTGGCCCACGGGGAGTCTGAGCCACATCCCCTATTGACTACAGTCCCATCTCTGTGTCTGGACAAACGCAGAGCAGCCAGCACCGAGTGCTGGGGGGGGGGGGGGGGGTCGGGCCCCGGTGGCTTTCTCCCACCCTCGGAGGTCCCAGTGTCACACTGCGGTTCCACTGAAGACCGGTTCCTCTCACCTTCTCTTTCCAGGCTCCCGAACAGGCCCCTGACCTGGACATGGTCTGAGGCCCACTTCCCTGTCCCAACAGGTCTCTTCTGAAACATGAAACAAGTAAAACATCACCACCACATCTATCCACAGAAGACGGCTTCCCAGTGATGAAGCCTCTGCCTGGACACATCGGTGGTCGCTGCGGTGATCATGAACAACTACTGCGTCCTTTACAGCTGAGGAAACAGACCTGTGTGCTGAGAGGTTTTGCCAGAGGTCTCGCTGCTGCTTTCAGAAGAGCTGAAACGACCGAAACGCTCCTGTGTGCTTCCCAGTGAATCTATAACCACCTGAAAGTGTGACATTGGGGACTGAATACAATACTGAGTCTGACCAGGGCAGAGCAGGATGCCGGTCACGCTTCCCCAAAAGTTTGGGGTGCTCCTGACCCACACCTGCTTCCGTTTTGTAGGTATGGCCACTGAATCAAGAGTCCTCAAACTCACGCTCCGGCGGTTGCTCTGAATACAGAACAGCCACCACTGAGCCAGTTCGTCTCATTTTTTAAACTGTCAGTTGACAAACCTATTTCCTAAGCTTCTGAGTGCTGGGTGTGGACATGCAGGTGAAGTGCCCAGTTAGAGGAGGTGCCGAGCAGGCATTGCTGTAACTCTCCCGCTGCCTGCCACTCTCATCAGATCCTTTGATACACACACTGTTAGTTTCTTTCCAAGTCAGGAGAAAACTGCTGAGTCCATCAGGGCAAAGTTTGACACACATGGGTCAGTAGCCTAGGGTTGTGTTGTTGGGCTGTTTTCAGGCTTAAGAGTGATGACAGGTCAGGGCCCAGGGTTCGCCTCCTGACCATCCCCCACCTGTGATCAGGCTCTGCTCCCAGAATAATCAGTGCCTCTCCTTCCGGGATGCTGTGAAGAGTAAATACAATGGAGCATGGAAACACCTGTAAGCATTTTGGGCTTCATAAATGGTAGTCATTATCACGTTAACAATGCCAGCCCCAATTCTCTTATCTTATTCACACTAGTAGCCTCAATGATCTTGTCCAAGTGTTTCCTTAAATCAAAACACACTGCATAATGGTTTTCTGTACAACACAAAGGGATCGGGCTGGTGGCTGAGCTCACTTTGCTGCCTCAGGCAACTGTCAGCTCACTGAGGAGGAGCCATCATCCTCCTCACACCTGTGCGGGGCTCTGCATACACCTGTCCTTCACTTGTCTGAGGGCTGGCTCTTAACCAACCCAGAGGCGGGGCACCTTGGTCTGTCCTCAGCGTCCTTTATTCTCCCCATCGGGCGCCCAGTTCTCTCAGGCTGCCCTGAGAATTAGCCTGAAAAGTAAACGCTGCACACCACGCTGTCTGAAGATCAGGAGCTACCCCTCCAAGGGACAGTTGAATTTGGGGAGGTTCCCAAAGAAAAGGACTGTGAAACCGAAAGAAGGCATTTGAAACGGCGGGTTTTTAGGGCCTGAGACCCACAGGTATTTTGAGCAGAGGATTCAGGCCTCCGAGGCCCCAGTCACAATCTGTAGCCAGTTTCATCACTGCAGAAAAGCAACTCTCATTTTACCAAAATATTACCAAGTAACTTTAAGATGCTTTTTTCCCCTTTTGTGACATATTATATTCTTTAGTATAAAAAAAAATTTCTATTGCTGTTTTAATAAAGTCCAATAAATGCTGACATTCACTCAGTTACTATTTAACTAGGTGGGAAGACAAATAAGCACAGCATGATTAAATATTAAAAACGTCTGCTTGCCAGGAATTTTGAGCCCAATCAGAGCCCATGTAGGGCCTATTACAGAAGCGGGAGCTAAGGTCCAGTGAGGAAAAGGGTCCTTGGCCAACCAGCTATGAGTCTGTAGGCAAAATAAGTGTTTTGTGTAGTCAGAAAACTAATGCTTTGTGGCAAGCCAATTTTTTGACAGCTAGAAAAGAAAAAAAGAAAAAGAAAAAAAAAAAGACTTTATTGACGGGAAAACCAGGCCATCTTACTGAAAACAACACAAAGTTGAAGTGACCCTTTAAGTCACAGAAATGAGTCACAGGAAATGAGTCTTATTTTTGCCATGAATATAACTCTTGTCTCAGAATATTTGTAAGTTGGAGACCTTTTTTCTCTCAAAGATGTGATAAATTAACCAGCACTAAATTACTTCAGGACCAGTTGGTCTCATGCTCTGAGATAATGAGCAATGTTTTTCCCCTGAATTGCAACTGTGCTGGGTTCATCACCCTCCCTCTCAGTTTTCTTTAACTTCATCTGAACATATGGACATATCCACTGCCATTTCCAGCTTGCGTCAGCTTGACGTGGTTTTGTGGTTTTGGTGTAAGGATGCGCAAACACCATGGGCAGGAGGAAAAACAAAAGTTGCTGCTCACCGGCTGCCCCATGCAGGCGCTCTGCCCTCTCCCCTGAGACCCCCACCCAAGCACTGAGCCACTGGAAACAGACCCCCCAGCAAGACCTCTGCTGAGAAAACCAAGTGAAAGGCAAATGTCTGTGCACACTCTTCTCTCACTACAATGTGTCTGTACCATTTGAAATCACTACAGAATGTCTGCTTTCTGATACACTCGCCTGATTTAATCAGAACATGTTAGGAAATTCAGTGGCACTGTCAGCATCAGACTATGACTCCAAGTTAGGAGGCAAGTCACTGAGCACACGCTTCATACTTTTTCCTATTTATCGTAATTATTTCCTACTCAGTTAAAATGGAAGTGGCATTTGAACATGTCACAGACAGAACAAAATAGCCCTGATACCTTTGTAGGACTATGACAAGGACCAGCACTTTATTTGCAAATTATCCTGCATGAAATGAACGGTTCAAGTTTATCAGTAAACGAAGTATACATACCACCAGATATAATCAGAAGAGAGCCGAATATGAGTTTTAATAACCCCTTTCATGATGTCATCATCTGAGCAATTGTCACAGATCTGCATAGTGTCAGCAGGGAGGATGACCCCAGCACACAGTGAAGATAGCCTGTTGGCAGATGGGGGAGGGTAAGGAAGGGGAGGACACAACTTCAGCTGATGGCAAGTGCATGCTTGCCTGTTTTAAGGTTTTGAGAGTTCAATTCCCCAAATTAAAAAATAAGTTTCAGTGATTTTAAAAATGTGAAGTCTATATGCTTTCCAACAACAAGGAGGCCTGGTGCCGAGTGCAGGGAATGCAGGACCGGGCAGTTCCCCAGTGGAACCTGACAAGGAAGCACAGCAGCAGTGTTCAGGGGTCACTGGGGTGCTCCAGGGCCTGCAAATAATGTGAAATGGGGCCCAGGAAAGTGGCTTGTCCAGCGCTGCTGGGCACAGCCCAGGACAGTCAGGAGGCAGTCTGGTTTGATGAATAAACCGGAATAAAAATGAATAAAAATAAAGGCACTCAATTTCATTTAGAGAGCCGTAATGGTCTCCTTGCTTTTCACACTCAATTCTACAGTTCACTATTCCCCGCATACTTGCTACCTGCCCCCTGCCCCAGGAAAGGATGTATCAATTCTGACCTTCCCCGGGCTCCCCCATGTCGAATTGCTTTGTCTGGCCAGGGGTGGAAAGGCATGATGTCTCTGTTATATGTGGGAGAAAGGGTTGTTGTGGTCACTGCCCTTCCTTACTAAAATCAGGTGCCAGTCAGGTGGGGGGCAGAGGAACAGAGGACAGGCTGCACTTCACTCTTAATCCACCGGAGTGCCGGGTCTGAGCAAGTACCATGGGTCCAGGCCTTAAGGTGGCCTCCAAGGCCTCTGGCCCCAATCTCTGGATTAATTCTCTAGTGTCCACACTATATTCTAAGAATATGTGAAGAGGTCACCTGATAGAACCAGCATGGAAAGATAGTTTCTTAAAAAATCCTACATGCTATGCTTTATTGTATTCAAAATGGATAAGAGAAAAATTCCCAAGTTTTCTTTTCACTAATTTTATTTATATTTGGTAAATTTCACTCAGAATATCTGTCAATTCCTTGTTCAGTTTGAGATGCATGTGTGTGTGCATGTGTGTATAATCCCTTAGAAACTTTATTTGGTGTAACTTCATATTTTTGGTATACAGAAATAATTTTATTTTCGTATTGCAGCACAGTAGGCATACAATCAACATTATTTCCTAGGTTGTGCAATACATAAATTATTCACATTAAAAAATTAATAACAGAAAGCCTCATATGCAGGAAATATTTTTAAATGTTTTATCTAATTTTGAATCTGTTTTGACAGTATAGACTACTAGCTTTATAAATCTGAATAAATACATGATACACATTGGAATAAAGTACAGATATGGGTCAGCTCCAGATGCTTAATTCAGTGCATAGCTATCTCACGCTTCACTTTGGTCACTGGGATTCCAGGTGCTGAGGCATACGTGGGTCTGAAAGATACTTCCAGAAGTACGTTTATTACACTGGCATTTTAAACATTTGTTTCTTCTATTCTCCTTTAAAGCGAGGGGACCTTTTCTCCTTAAAAGCCAGAAGACCTTCAAGTCTGTCTTTCGTTGGAATAGTCTAAGAGAAACAAAACATTATGTTACGTACCAAAAATGAAAAACAACTGTAAAAGTTTTAACAAGCTTTATCTAAGAAAACTAATTAGAATACAATCTAAAAAATTTAAATCTACTAGTCATCTGAATAATTCTAATTAAATGACCATATTTATCATTCTAACTCCAAATATGCTTTTTCCCCCATTTGGAATATACTTTAAAAAAATTAATAGGCTTTATTTTTTAGACAATTTTAGGTTCACAAAAAAATTGAACAAAAGTTCAGATTTCCCACAGACACCTTCAATACGTCCACCAGTTCCTCTAATATTAACATCTTGCATAAGTGTGGTATATTTGTTACAAATGAACAAATATCGATATATTATTGACTAAAGTCCATATTTCACATTAGGGTTCCACTGTGTTGCCTATTTCATGGATTTTTGCAAATGTAAAATGTCATGTACCTATCATTACAGTGTCATACAGAATAGTTTCACCGCCCTAAACGTCCCTTATGCCCCACCTATTCATCCCTGCCCAGTTGCCTCTTCCAGAATGTCATATAGTTGAAATCGTATAGTGCATACATAGCGTTTTTAGATAGAAATTCTTCACTTAGTAATATGCACTGTTAAGTTCTTTGGTTTTGGTATCAGGGCAATACTGGCCTCATAGAATGAGTTTTAGAAAGTGTTCCTTCTGCTTCTATTTTCTGGAAAAGACTGTAGAGAACTGGTATAATTTCTTCCTTAAATGTTTGGTAGAATTCATCAATGAAACCATCTAGGCCTGATGCTTCTTATTTTGGAAGTATATTAATTATTGATTTAATTTCTTTGACAAACATAGGACTATTCAGTTATCTATTTCTCCTTGTGTGAATTCTGGTATATTGTGTCAAAGAACTGGTGGATTTTATCTATGTTATCACATTTGTGGGCAGAGTTGTTCACAGTATTCCTTTACTATCCTTTCAATGTCCGTGGATCGGTAGTAATGGTCTTTCTTGCATTTCTGATATTGGTATTTTTATCTTCTCTTTTTCCTTGGTTAGCCTAGCTAGAAGTTTCTCAGTATTATAGACCTTTACAAAGAACCAACTTTTTGTTTCTGATTTTTTTTCTATTGTTTTCCTATTTTTAATTTCACTGATTTCTGCTCTAAAGTTTATTATTTCCTTTCTTTTGTTTACTTTGGATTTAATTTGCTCTTAATAATAAAGTAGAAACTTTTTATTAATTTAGATCTTTCTTTTCTAATATATGCATTCAATGCTATAAATTCTAAGATCGCTTTTGATGTATTCCCACAAATTTTGATAGGTTTCATTTTCATTTTTAGTTAAAAGAAGTTTTTAAAAATCTTCTTGAGACTTTTTCTTTGATACATGTGTTATCTAGAAGTGAGTTATTTAATCTTCATTAAAAAGATTAAATCCCACCATTAACAGGTGGGATTTTCCACCTATCTTTCTGTTACTTTTTTATAGTTTAATTCTACTGTGGTCTGACAGAATACAATGTATGATTTCTGTTCCTTTACATTTGGTAAGGTGTGATTTATGGTCAAATATGCTTGTAGACATTTTCTTCAGTGCCTGGGGCTGCCTATTTGTAAGAGGTTTATAATTTACTTCATCCACGGCATGTGCTCATCAATGACAGGCAGTGATTTATACCTACAGACCAGGCAGAGTAACACTCGAGCTGTCACTCCTAATTCATGACAATGTTTAAATGGGAGCTGATACAGTTTCAAACTCTCAGCAAAGATGTAGCAAAATTCTTCTCCCACTTTAGATGCCCTAAAACTAAGTTATACCTTTTAGAAAAATAGAAGGAAGGGCAGGGGGAAGGGGAGACGGAGGGGAAAGAGGGACTGTTCCTTATAGAAAGCCCTACTAATTTGTGTACAAAAAAGGAAACTGTGTAATTGAATTAGTAAACTTTCAGTGAGCAGGAGGGAGGGCTGAGAATATCAGGAAGAGCCAATGAGTCTCCAATACCTATGCTCCCAGCAAGGACCCTGCTGCCCTCCTCTGACCCCTCTACACTGGAGTGAGAGTTCAAGTCACACCCACAAAATACCACATGAGCCAGAGAAACAGCCACAGCGCGAATGGTACTATTTAATTATCCTAAGAGTTTTCTAAATTACGTAGACAAGAGTCATTAGTATGTGAAACAGAGTTAGTCATAAGAGCCAGTAACAGTCAAATAGCAGAAACAACTAATTTCAGCCCATTTATATGAATTTGGAATGGGTATGAGTACAGTTTTGGTCAGTGATACATGTTTCATTTGACTTATACAGAAGGCAAACGTATTTTGTAAGGGGTATCCTCATTGCATGTGATTGTATTACCTACCTGAGCGTAACAAGCTTCTTCTATGGCTAACCCTGTTACTAAATCGACCTGGGGACAAAAACAGAATTCATTTCAGCAGGAGTTACTTTTCAAAATATGGTATATGCAACGTAAATTCAAATTTAACAACCTATTCCAAAGAACTGAATCCTTTGGTATAATATGGCAAGTCAGAGGATCAATGCGAGAGTCTGGAGCCAGGCTGCCGGGTTCAAAGCCTGACTCCACCATGTGAGAGCTGTGTACCCTGGGGGAAGTTATAACCTCTCTGCCTCAGAGAGGCACATCTGAACAAGGGGATAACTGCAGTGCCTACCAGTCTGGGGTACTGTGAGGATTCAATCAGTTAATCTAGGTAAAGACTTTATTAAGCACCTAAGATACACAGGCAGACCTCGGAGATACTGCTGTTACTGGCCAAGACAGTGCACTCCCCCTCCCCCCAAAGACTTTTAAGTTTTCTTTCCTATAGAAATGTTAGGTATAGAAATGTTAAGTCTCCTTTTTAGTTTCTTAGCCTCTGGCTTCGATTACTCTTCTCATCAGTCTGTGAATCCTAGGCTAAAGATTGCTCCTAGCCTGAATCCTAGAATTCTCCTATCCCCCTGCTTCTTGATTGCTTTGTAAATCAGTTTCTGAATCCTAAACAACAGAAGTCTCCTAACCCTGCTTCAGATAACTACTTGAAAGCCTGTGACTTCCTAATATCCCCCCAGGCCAGTAAAGTAAATGCCAAACCCATTCTGGGCCCAGACAACTGACGCCACCTGAGTAACAGGCTGAATGGCAACAGGCTTCTTGAGAGCTAACAGATTTATTAATTAAAATCTGTTTCTCCTCATTCAGGGGCCTTGGGGATACAGAGGATACCCCAACAAGACTGCCAGTCACAAACAAAGAAACCAACGTGGTCTTCCAGGCGGAGCTCGAGACCCCTTCCTCTCATCTGAGATCAGCTAGGATGAGAGTTCTGTGAATCCCCCAATAGGCAGGGACAGCTCTATGCCCCTGCACAGCAGGAAGCAGATACAGAAGAAAAGACCTCCTGTCCCTCAGCTTCCCATAGAGATTTTATGGGGATCATGTCTCTCAAGGGGAAAACTAGGTAGGCAGTTAGAGGCAGACATTGGGTCTCTGCATTCCTGCACATCCCACAGGATGTGACCGTCTGGTGACCTCCCCTCTCAACCCAAAACTTCTTTTCATTGTAACTATCTACTCCTGAAACAAATGGGTGCAAAATACCCAACTAGATCAGACCAGTCACTCACACCTGTGTAGTACCTCTTGTCAATCATAGGTGCCAATCAAGTGGTCCCACGCCCGTAGGGGAACAGCCCATTCTAGAGAAGGGATAAAAACCCCAAGTCCTTGCAAGTCCGCCCTTTTTTCCTTTTTGGACGCCCTTTTGACCGCTTCTTCCTTTTTGAGCCTTTTGAGCCTCGCCTTTGCGCGTGGCCCACTCCAAACTCTTTGAAATGTACTATCTCTTCGAATAAACTGCTTTTTCAGTACTTTACTCCGGCATCTCGTTCAATTCTTTGCTCGAGCTGCCAAGGAACTGGACTTTGCGCCAAGAAGGGCCCACTTTCCAACAACACTGCGGGTTTGGTTCCAGATGGCCACAATAAAGCAAATGTCACAATAAAGTCGCACGAAGTTTTTGGTTTCCCAGAGCATATAAAAGTTATGTTTACACTATGCTGTAGTTCATTAAGTGTGCAACAGGAATGTGTCTAAAATAACAATGCAAACACCTTAACTAAAAAATACTTTACTGCTAAAAAATGCTAACCATCACCTGGGCCTTTGGTGAGTCATAATCTTTTTGCTGGTGGAGGGTCTTGTCTGGATGTTGATGAAAACGAAATATCCACGAGGCATGATAAAGTGAAATACAGTAACACAAGGTGTGTGTGTGGGGCGGCCTGGCACACAGTAAGGGTCATATAAGGTATTTGCTACTATCACATAAGAATTTCTGAAAACTAATCAAAACCTTTGTTAAGGTTTAAAACTGCATTTTTTGCTAACAAATTCAATCTTTTCATTGCTATGAGGCCCAGGACAATACAATGGGCTCTGGGTCTGCAGTGATAAGTATCTTTTTCAAAACTCCCATAATTTAACCAAAATGTAAGTGCTGTAATTACAGCCCTGTGTCAGCGGCTGCCTGCACCGCATCCCTGCCCTGCCTACCTGCCCTGGTGTGGGGCCTCCTGCTGTCAGAGCCACCTCCCCAGGGTGACCCCAGGACACCCTACAGACCTGCCTGGTTTTATGTGTGTCTCCCGCAGAAAGCATATCAAGATGTTAAAGGTGGAGACAGCCAGGAAGTTCTCTCCAAAATGCATTTTTATAATGTAATACTGGTACTGAGAATACACAGAAGGCCTTTTTCTTTTGATTTTTCTATGAACTACTCGTCAATAAATCTATTAACTCAACGGCAAAAGTAACAAGCATGTCAAGCTGTAGGGCATCAGTGGAATTAGCAAATTCTATGATATGAACTGAATTAACAACAGCTATAAGCAGAATGAAATCAGTGAAGTGGCTACAAAGAAACTGAGCAGCTCTCAGTAGCACTGAAACAGCTCTATTTTGGAGCATTAAGAAATAATGCACAAGTCCAAATATGGCTCATTTCAATTAAATCCCCACTCCCTACTCTAACAATAAACTCAAGCAGTAAGGAACTTACCTCCATCCCTTGATTAATTGCTAATTTTGCCACTCGCATTGCAACAGGTCCCTAAAATTCAAATTAAGGAAAAAATTTTTAATTATTATTTATGCAAATTATTTGTACATCTCGGCAAAATTTAGAAATTTCCATTGCTGGCTCTATGGCCTGACAGCAACAACGGCTATAAGATGCAGTTGATGAGGAATTTCTTTTAGGAGGCTTGCAAAGTGTAAATGGCAGTTGTAGCAAATCCACTGCATCAGCAAATTATGTAGATTCGATTCGCAGTAACCTGTATGCGTGGAGGTCAGCAAGTGGTGTGAGCGTAGCACGGGGCTTACCATTCTTCACCCCATCTCCCTAGAGGTTAAGCAGGGAAAAGAAAAGGGGGCAAAGTGTCTGGCATGACACCATGCCCATCAGCAGTATGAGAGAAGCTTGGGGTTCAGACATCACCATTAGACATCAGCTCTTTCTCTCTCTTCCATAGGCATTGATAACTAACCACAAGGATGACGTATAGGAAAGCCGTGTCCTCCATGAAGTGCTCCCACATCACACAAAAGCTTCAAGTCCAAACAAGTCATTCCGGATGTGTGAGGGTCACAGAGAAAAGACCTGGGTGTCCTCTGTGAGAAGGAGTGTTACTTTTGTCTTAGAAAACCACAGTCCTCCAGATGGAATTTAGTTATTTGTTTACATTTTAAATTCCTAAAAAGTGTTTATGTGTGATGAATTAGAATTCAGTGGCATATTTTAAAATGCCTTCTGAATTAAAATGCAAAGTAGGCTCTGGTAAGCTCCAAATAACAGGAAGGACAAAGGATCCCAAAAAGTAGAAGGTAAATGCATGACAGCACGAAGTGCCACTTTCTCCTATCCAGGGCTTTCGATGATCAACCTTAATCTTTCTAAATTAAACTCTCTTCCTAAGTCACATGCTTAAAAATGTTTTTCAGAGGCCACAATTTTCTAAGGCTTAGACAAATATCTTAATTAGACTTCGTCCAATTGTGATTTGCATGGGTAGGCCACGTACAAGGATTATTTTTGTTAAGATCATCAATCCATTTATTTTTAAACACAGTGCTCCTTTCAATGAGAATCTTCTCTATTCCCTTTTATTACCAGCTGATCCTTGTTTTGGTACCGGTCAAACGTCCATATTACACAAATCCCCAAGTCCCCTGTTCCAACATGGATGGGAATTCGGGGATCTGGGGTGGGTCTGGGACCCTGCTTGTTGAACATGCTCCCAGGGGATACCTGGGCTGCTAGCCCTCAGAACACACTCTGCCCAGCAAGGTTTAGAAAACTGGGAAAGAGCAAAAATGAAAATGCTCTTAGATATAATGCTTATTGAATTAGGTTCTCTTTCAAAATCTAAAACCAAGGCCTCTTCTATACAAAACCATTTCTCAGAAAAATGGAAGTAATATATAGTACAGAAATCACATAGAAATACTCATTTTATAGAAGCTTTCTAATTACTTGGAAGAATAATCATTCAGTGAAAAAACTATAAAGATTATTCCACCTCAAACTGCGTTTTGTAACATTTGCATATAGTTTCACAGTTACATATTTTCTGATGGCATTCAACATCTCCCTTGACCTGGGGAAGAATTAATTCCAGCAATTAATGTTCTCAGAGGCACGTCCGTCAAAAGAAAGAGACAGTAACAACAGCCCGCTTTCCAGTGGGGTGGAATACGGCTGATGTCAGATTGCGGTGGGGGCTCTCAGGCAGGTTGAGTGTGGGCAGTGAGGGCATTACTGCAACGCGGTCAAAGGGAGAGAGTAAGAGAGAAGTCATGGGAGCCGCAGGGGTGCTAAGGGGCTTTCGACCCTCCTGGCTGGAGCTCCAGAGGAGGGAGCTGAACACTCACGTCCAAAGCCAGGAGATGCTGTGACATCAGAACTGGAATTGTGCCATAACCTTGCTTAAACACACCCCATTATTTCAACTAAGACATGTGGTGGTCATAAAGTTTTAAGCCAAAGGAAGTCATTAAACCAATATTTAAACTATTACCTCTCCTGATACTTGTACATTTAATCTCTTTTTAGGTAGACATTTCCCTAATATTTTGGGGAAATATTAATACCAAAGTTACAGTGAGAGCCTTTTTTTTCTTAAAAGCAATAAAAATCTTTTCTACTTGCTCTCTCTCCATCAATTCAGAGTATAAGGCTCTGTGTTACCTTATATGGGGAATAAATTATATAGGGGCCCTGCCCTGAAAAAGCTTATAGCTCATTTGTTCATTGAGAAGGACTGAAGTGCTGTCAACACCAGGCAGAGTGGCTTTACAAGTCAATTGTGAGGCCCCCTTTGGGCAGCTCTCAGGGAACAGGTGTGTCACAGCAGGCCTGGAACATTGACAACAAAGAACTCCAGGAACTGGTTGCAAAACTCCCAACAAATACGGAGGGTATATGCATTTTTTGGAAAGGGAGCTCATGAAATTCCCCAAAGGATCCATTGCCCCAAACAGGTTACAAATCCTGTCTGTGTTAAATGGCTGAGTTAGAGACGACATTACTTTGACTCCAGAAATGGGGTTATAGAACTTGCAACTCCACTAGGGATAAAGACAAATCACTGTTTACATAGCAAAAATCCTTAAATCTACAATTTCAGAAAAAAAGGAATATTTGAAAAATACACCGGGGAGTGTGAGAACAAAGAAACCCTTAAAAAAGGACCCTCGATGCACAATTATTAATATCACATATGATAACTGTTGTCTGTGAGTCAACATACACTGAGTTCCAGATTTGAAAGTGGAATTGTGAGGAAGCACACTGTGCATACAGGAGTTAAAATAAGCCTACATCACCATAAAAACACACACTGTGAGAGGAACCCCTGCTGCTGCTCCAGTGGTGCCCTCAGTTAGGCTAGGAAGGTCCACTTCAGCACAAATGGCTGCACTCTCCTTACTTATTTGTGTTTCAATGTGTTTCAGCTTGGGGGTGACCAGTGTGACAGCCCTTCCATTGCTATTTCTTTCCACGTGTATGGCTCAGGTTAGAGCATTCAGTTGGTGAACTTAAGGTGCTAAGAAGTCCTGGCACATGTGACAAACACGCTTGAGATATAGTATCAAAGCGTGACTAGAGTTATGGGCCTCAGATTATCTTCATATTGTAATTTTAATTCTGAAGACTTTTCATGTTAATCTAGTACACTACTTCTAGTTTTGCAGCTACCGTGTATGTCTTTACTTGGAAGACAAGCCAAAGACATCATGGGTGTGTGAGATGATTGTTATTTTTGTCAATTTGCTATAAAAGTTCCCTAAAAAGGGGGGAAAGGAAGTGTAATTAGAAATACCTGAGGTAAAAACTCTCTCGCTAGGTCCAAGGCCTTCCTGTAGGCAGCATCACCCTCCTGGTTCTGCTCCAGAACGTGGCTGACCAAGCCCACAGCCTTGGCTTCCTGGCCATCCAGCACCCGTGCAGAGAAGATGAGCTCTTTGGCCAGTGACATCCCAATGGCGCGAGGCAATCTTTGTGTTCCCCCTGCAAATGGCGGAGAGAGACAATGCAGGCAACAACTTCATTTAGGCTTCACATTTTGGTGTTTCATTTCATTTATAAAAATAAATCAGGGAAAGTTTATATGTCAAAATTAGTAACTGAAAAACTACTTCAAAACAGAATCTAATTTTTTAATTTATAAAATTAATAACACCAAAAGCACTTCAGAATCTTATGTCATTAAGTGATTCGGGCACTATTACAAAGCTGCTGTGTTTCTGAGTCAAATCCACTTTCATTACCATGAGAAACCATGCGAAGCACAGCGATGGGCAAGCAACACTGTCCCTCGGCCCTTTCATCAGATGTCACCAAACCTGGGACTTCTCTTTCAGTTTAGATAAAACTTACCAAATTCTGAGAAATTCAACTCATGTACTTTAAAAGAATCATTTATGGTAAATGGCTTGTAAACTAGTTAAGAGTTTAATTAAAAAAAACAAAAACCTGATAACTGCTCATGAAAACAGGCTTTATCCTGGCAGGGTTTACTTTTCTGGTGTAAGAACTAATCGTCCCGACACTCTGCTCCGTTAGCTCCATTTATGTATTCACTCCAGTGTCCGCAGTGATGAGGCTGGGATCTTATTAACTAGAAAGCTGGGCAAAAGCCGGTAACAGTCTTACTGGTAGTCTCAATTTTTACCAATAAGAATACGAAAATAGCTACATTAGGATTCGGATAAATCTCATCCTTAATGGCTGCTGGGCTGCACAGGCTATTGGTGGCCAGGAAGCAGGAGCGGCTGACTCCCAAGTTCCAGAGGAAGAAAGACAAACTGATGGTCTGCCACCCAAATAAGCTCACTGTATTTTGTTTGGCCCACCAAGTTTACACTTCTCTCCCTTACTAGTTACCAACAATTAAAAACTGGGTGGGTGACTGCATACAAAACCAATTTCCTCTGTCGTCAACGGAGCTGCCCCTTTAAGACGCAATGCGTGCCCATTTGCTCCGCCTCCACCGCCGTGAGTGCACCACTCCAACACCCCAGGACACAGAGGTTGTGTTTCCCTTTAAACCGCTTTCACAGGAAAGCAAAATTTTTTCTTATTGACATCTCCATCGAAAGTGGGAAAATGAAACAGAAACACCACAAGTTGAAAATAAGCATATTTCCCTTCAGTAATTAAGTATATTCCTACATGTTTAACCAACAAAGGATGCCTGCATTGATTGGGAGAACACAGCTTAAGATGTTATTACTAAGCAACCATATTAATAACCATGACCAGTACTTAGAACACACGGGTGACTAAAAAAGAAAAAGGGCTGACCGGGTGGCACGTTAAGAGTTGGCTTGGGATGCCAGCTCTGAGCAGCAGGGCCCCGGTTCGGATCCCACATGAGGGCCAGTGACGCTGCGCCCTCTACAGCTAAGATGGTGACCAACAGCTCGACCTGGAGCTGGGCTGCGTGAGTCCCCTGCATTGGTGTAAGCTGCAGCCCCTGCTGCAGTGAGCTGCTGAGAGCTACAGGAAGCGGCCGTCCAATGACTGGCGAGCGACTGCCTCACCAGGGAAGAGCGCAATGATAATACCAACATGGGCCAGTGAAGCGATGTCCTCCACAACTAGACTGAAGAACAAAAGGACAGCAACTTGTCTGCTCCCCTTCCCCGATTCCCCAACACTGTTCCCTCCCCCAATCCCCCAATAAAATCTTTTAAAAAACTCAATGAATTAGGAAAGGACTGACATTATTAGCATACATGAGTACTGCTTCTGTAAAACTCAGTTATTTATTAACTGTTTACACTGCCCAAGCAGTTAGAAATGGTGAGTTTATAAGTGTTTTACTCAATATGGCAGAAATGTGTCTGAAAAAAATGAAGCATTAACAAATTTAAATCTAACTGTAAACAATGTTGTTACTCAGTGTAGTAAAGATAGGTCTGAGAACTTATGGGGTAAGCTGCATGGAAAACACAAGTTATTTGTGGTGTTTCCAATGGCAGCTGATTAGAACAGATATAAATAATACAACCCAGATGGCTATATTTACTCATGAAGCTGATGAGAATTTTCATGAGACTGAAGAACTCATGGATATAGTGTTCGTGATAAGCACACATTAGGAAATTATTTTTTTGTGTGTTCTGTGAAAAGTTTAATTTAGATTAGTCAAAATTAACAAATGTGACCCTCAATGGTCATTGTTAATGTTATGCTTTTTATTCAACTGAAACTCAACACTTTGTAAGTCCATAAAGCTTAGGCCCATTCATCATGTCATTTCGCTTATAGTATCGTATCATTCTCCATGAATAAGGATTTTGTACAAATTTAACACAAAGGAACGGTCATGAAACTAACACAATGAAATGGACCCACTCCTTTGAGCTGAAGAGCATACAACTCAATGCTTTGCTCAGTGAACTAAATACTAGAGGACATGATGTGAGAGTGAGAGGCACGGCGCTGAAGAGAGCTTTCTGTTCTATTGAAAACAATGCATCACAGGATCTGAGGAAAACTCCTCAACTTGGCTCACCAACTAACTAACACTGTATATAAGACTTGGTCTTTTTGGTTGACATCATAAGCCATCTATTCTAGGTACCTCCTATAAGTGGAATCATATAGTATTTGTCCATTTATGACTGCCTTATTTCGCTTACCCTAATGTCTTCAAGGTCCATCTACATTGTAGCATGTGTCAGGCTTTCCTTCTTTTGTAAGGCTGAATAATATTCCATTGTATGTATATATTAAGTTTTGTTTATTCACTCATCTATTGGTGGACACCTGGATTACTTCCATCTTTTGGCTATTAGGAATAATGCTGCTATGAATATGTGTATACCATTTTTCAAGACCTTGCTTTCAATTCTTTTGGGTAGATACCCAGAAGCAACATTGTAATTTCATGTTTATTTTTTTTGAGGAACAGCCATACTGTTTTCCATAGCATCTGCACCATTTTACATTCCCACAACCAATGCAAAAGGATTCCATTTTCTCCATATTCTCACCTTGTTTTGTGTGTGTGTGTGTGTGTGTGTGTGTAGATAGATAGAGAGAGAGAGAGAGAGATAGAGACAGAGAGATCCAACTTCATTCTTTTGTAGGTAGAAACTAAGTTTTCCCAATACCGTTTTTTTGAACGGGGCTATCTTAAATAGTTACACAAATATAGATTTAATTCACTCATTCTGACTAAAATTTTATCTTAAGAAACCTGCTTGGTAAGAAATTATCTGGCCCACTTTCCTATGCTGCAATCAGTTTGCAGAAATAAAAGTGATAGTCTAAACTATATTTTTACATTTGTTAAATTGAGGATAACCACCTGCTACCACCTCCATGAATATAAAATTTGTGATTTCAAACTTTATAAAAATGATATAGCCTGTTCAGTTTGCCTTTCTCAATTAATATTTAATGTTGATAACATGAGCAAAGAGCTGTACAAATGGAAGTAACTGAACTGCAGTGCAATATGAGAATAAACTAAACATGATTAATGTAGACTCTTAGATTTCCACAAATATCTCAGGCATAGTTACACTTTCTATGCCAACATTCTACTCCAGTTTGGAAGCATTGCTGTTTGTGAACAGCTATTTTCTATTACGAAATTAAACAAAACACAACTGCTCGTTAGGGAGTCAAGGCTCAGTGCAGCACATCTGGCAACCTGAGACAAGGCATGCCATTGAGACCTGGTATGGAAGTAAAGGTGTCAGAGTTCAGTCCAAATGCAAACAGGCATACTAAACAGAATGCATTTCAATTCATCTTTATTAATTATGAATATTAAATTAGCGTAGAGTTAGGCAAAAACGAAGACCGTGTGTCATAGTCCTGTCAGCTGATCTGCTTGGACCGGGCTAACTTCACTAGATCACAGAACTTCCTTAGTTCTCGTAGCCATTTGAGTTCAGGCTCATTCAAGTGCCATCTCGAGATACAGTCTTGGGGACTGACAAAATTAAACAGCGGAATTAAAAACAGGGTTATCACAGTGGAAATAAAACTGTTCCACTCTGACAGCAGCCCTCCTGCATTCAAGATCACAGAACCCTACGAGACTGTTCCAACGCCCACTACTGTCCATCCGAGCAGTTTCCAGCAGGAAGCCCTCACTTCTGGCTGGGCCTGCTCTGAAGCTCAGGGACTTTTCATAACTTGCCCCAGGTCACTAAGTTAGGGTGCAGAAATAGGGCTCAAACCTACCTCTGCCCAATTCTTATCTACTGTGTGATAAGCAAAGAAAGAGCAAATTGTGAAATGAATGTATGGCTTGAGAATATTTTATTTTAAAAAGGTGTGTGTGGTACATATAAGTAGGTATGTAAGTAGGCATTTTATACTCATATATCAAATATGCCCTAACAGTTGTCTCTGTGGGGCTCAGGTAGTAGACAATGCTCTTTTTTTTTCCACTTTGCCTTTCCGTATTTCCAAAACGTCCTGCGCTGTGTAAGTAATATGACACTGGTACAGGAACAGCATTCTGCAAAACCACAGTACAGGGACACAAAGAGGCAGACGCTGAGTCAAAGCATCCCAGACACTTCCTGCCTATGTTCCCAGGAAGCTTTCCAGGCTTCAGGAAGCCTCAGCTTCCCTGGGCTAGCTGTGGTACTCAAGGATCATGGAAGTAATGCACTCACAGGACACCCATGCAGGTACTACCGAATCAAGAGAATGTGGACATGAGCTGAGAACGTCCACGACAGCTCACAAGGCTCCTGCTAAAAAACAAGTACCTCAACTGTTTCTCAAGGGCAATAAATTTAGAGCACATTTTGCTTACACAAAAAACTCTTCCTGAGTCACTTCATCACCTACCAGAAAAGGGCATTCTGTGGTGTTCCATGAGTCTGCATGAGGGTGCATCAGGGCAACACGCAGAAATTGAGATCCAAAGCCGCATCACGGTGATGGAGAAACGGAAGCATCTTGGCCTCGGAACCTGCCCCTGCTAATATGGGAATGCTCAGGAAAAGCCAGCTGATTTCTAAGGCCTTCTGCCT